ATCCCTTCCCCACACTTCTCTTGATAGTCCCTAGAAAGGAGCTCTGCTGGGTCAGTGGTCAATGTGTTCAACTGCTTCTGGCCTAGTGGTAAGAAAGTGTACTGCAATCCTGCAGGCGTATGGTTTGAATCCACCACCTGCTCTGCGGGAGGATGGGCAATCTCCTCCCCCATGATTAACTGCCTCTGAAAATCCGCTGGAGGGTCAGCTATGGGCCAGTTCCAACTTGATGGTACTCGGCAACAACAACAACCATTAATGGTCAGCAGTTCAAACCCATCAGCTGCTCCCTGGGAGAAAGACTGGCAGTGTGCTTCCATAAAATTTACAGCCTGGAAATCTTATGGGGCTGTACCACTTTGTCCTACAGGATCCCTAATTGATTCAACAGCAGTGATATCTCCAAAACATATCACTGAACTTCCCTCCCTGTTTCATAGTTTTCTCATAGAGAATAGGATAGTAACTCATGGTCTCTTTTCTTACCTACATCAATAATAGTCAAGATTCTGTCACTTGAAACCAAGAGTCTTGACCACTGCCTTCTGAAATGACTCCTGATGTGTGCTTCGACCTTCCCCACCCTCACTCCTAGTAATCACATCATAAATATATAGATTGTTTGACCATGTTTGTCTCTGAGTGGAGCAAATGGTTTACTCTCTATTGTTAACCAAAAAACTGGTGGTTTGAAACCACCCAGCGGTGCTGTGGAAGTGAATCCTGCAACCACTTGTAAATATTATAGATAAGTCTATGGAATTTGATTCTACACTGTAACACTTCAGATTGTCAAAGGTATCGACAGATTCAATGGCCATAGGTTTGTTTTGATAATGAAGGAAAATGTTATCCCTTGAACAACCTCAAGTTTCACCACACAACACTTCTGTAACATGCTCCCACTGCTGATCCACCCACCAAGCACACAAAGGGTAAGACGTGGCCTTACTCAATTTATAAGATAACACCCAGTGCAGGCTGGTGTAGTTGGGAAACGCTTCCACTAACTGTTGGGCCTGTATGAGCCACTAGGAGGGAAAAAAAAGGCAAGAAGAGATTTACCCTGTTTCCTATCTCATACCCCCCATCCATCGGAAGTACCCAATGACTGTGTGCTAAATGAATAGTGGATTCACTCCTTCCAACACAGCACAACCAACCTGTATCATGCCCTCCATCCAAGCTGTAGTACACTCAGTGCCGCACTTTAGAGAAGCTGTAGTAGATGGTCTCATGATCCCTAGCTGTTGTACCCAAAGGGGTGTGGGTGTAGGTGTGTGTGTGTGTGTGTGTGTGTGTGTGTGTGTGTGTGTGTATACATTTCTAAGAAAAGCCTGCTTGAACAGTATACAGTTGTCAAAGGGCCAAACCAGTTAGGGCTAACGTTCATGTCACTTCAACGAATCTACCAATCAGGCACCCATGTTTCTTTTCAACCCTGGGCCAGCCTCAACCCTGCTGTTAACAGCCTTTCTCCTCTAGGCCTGGTTTCTCTAGAGCAGCAAAAATGGCTTTCCCACCAAGCATATCCAGGGACACACACTAAAGATAATGCTGTTTTATTGTCCCTGAGTCACTTGTCTGTCCCTACCATGTGCTGAAAGCAGTACCAGGTCCAACTTGTCCCGTTACAAAATGGCAAGGTTAGCATCCTGACTTCAGATAACAAAACTATCAGTGATAATTCATCTACAGAGTAAAAGTACTATCTGCTGAGTACTAACCACTGGTGTTCTTGTCGTTAGTTGTCATATTGTCGGCAGTTGTCCAACTCATGATAGCCTTGAGTATGACAGAAGGAAACACTGCCCTATCCTGTGCCACCAAGATGATCATTGGGATGTTTGGTTCTTTGTTTTGGCTACCAGGCCATTGTAGCTCATCAGTTGGATGTGAAAATCTACCCTTGAGAGTAATACATAGCATTCCTTGAGTATAGATGCTTTACATGCTGCATTAGCTAGAATTTTTATTGTTGTTATGTGCTGTCGAGTCGCTTGCGACTCATAGCGACCCTATGTACAACAGCCCTAAACTCTGCTCTGCCCTGTGCCAATCGCACTGTCTCTGACACTCTCATCCCGATTACCCCAGTCACTGAATCAATCCACCTCATAGAGGGCCTTCTCCTCCTGTGCTGTCCCTCCACCCTCCCAAGCATGATGTCCTTCTCCAAGGACTGGTCTAGCTAGAATAGGCTAGGTTAAGCTGAGATAACAAATTAACCTCAGGATCTCAGGGGTGTAGTGACGGGTTGATTTCTCACTTTCCATGCCCAGCACAGGTTGGCTAGGGACCCTATGGTTACTCAGGGACCCACAAAGACAGAAAGTTCATCATCTCAACACATGGCCTTCGCAGTGACTGCAGCAGAATGAGAGAAGAGGAGGACTGTGCAGCAGCCCTTGAAAACATCAGCCTAAAGCATGTGAGGCGTGTGACGTCCGTTTGCAGTCCACGGACTGTAACCATCCATGGCCCATTTAACTACAAGAGGGCTGGGAAATGAGGGCAGTCCATGTCCCTGACACGTGCACGGTCTCACCCAAGTCACATTTCCCAATCTCCAGAAGTATATAGTGATCCTCCTTCTGTGGTGAAAGAGTCCTAGTGGCACTGTTATTAAGCGCTCAGTCAATAAAAAAAAAAAAGGTCAGGAGTTCAAACCTATAGCCATTTTGGAGGAGAAAGATGCAGCCATCTGTTTCTTTTAACAATAACAGCCCTGGAAACACTACAGGAAAGTTCTCCTCTGTCCTGTTGGGTCACTATGAGGTGGAATTGACTTCATGGAGATGGATTAGGTCTGTCTTTCTTTTTTTTTTTTTATTTACAATTGAAAAACAAAGACAAATCTATTGTCACAGAGTTGATTTCAACTCTTGGCAACCCTCTGTCAGGTCTCTGAGGCTGTACAACGCCATGAGAGGAGATTGCCCAATCTCCCTTCCCTGGAATAGCTGGTGGGTTCGGTCCAAACAGCCAGACTTTCCATTGGCAGCCCAGCATTTTAATCACTGTGTCTCCAGGGCTCCTAATTTACCAGAAAACCAAACCCTGTGCTGTCACCTTGATTCTAACTCATATTGAAGCCCCCGCCCCATCAGGCTTTACAAGATCTAAACCTTTAATGGGAGGGCTGTGCTCATCTTTCCCCTGAGAACCACTCTGTTGGCAGCCCAATGCATTATATACTGTGTCACCAGGGCACCTTCTTTTACAGTAAAGGAATCCCTAAACCAATAAGGATAACTCATGGTCGTTGAGTTGATTCTGATTCCCCTGAGTTGGAGAGATTCCTGGAGTGGGCCGTATGGTTAAGTGCTGAATTATGAGCAGAAGAGTTGGTAGTTCAAACCTAACCAAAGGCACCTTGGGAGATAGGCCAGACAATCTGCTTCTGGGAGGTTACAGCCTTAAAAATGTTATGGAATAGTTCTAGTCTGCACATGTGGGGTCATCAGGAGTCAGAATTGGCTCAATGACAACATTTTAAAGAGAAGGAAGTAGAAACTTGGAAATGTTTTCAGACTCGCCCCTCGATGTCCTAAGATGTGAACAGGCCTGGCAGGCTTCAAGACACTCTCCGCCGGTCTCCCCCACAACGCTGCTTGCTCATCAGGAAATGCAATGAAATTCCCTCACATAGAAAACCAGCACACTCATTAATAGGAGAAGCTGCTGTATGCAAATGCACTATGACACTCCCCAGACACTCCACCTCCTCACCCTAAACATTCAACCTAAGCAAATACCTGGAGCAGAATTCTCCCAGAACTTCAGCAAGGGGAACCAAGGTCACTTCCTCTGACTCTGATAGCCAGCCTCCGATCCACCCACACCAAGAAGAAAACTTTGCAGAAACGTCACCTGAAAGCCCAGGGAGGTTTTCTCCTCCTGCCTCGGGGTTGAAGTGCCCCATAGAGTTTCTGTAATCGTTACACCAGCAGACTGCCCTGTCACTGTCTTACTGAGTGGAAGCACTGGCCCTTCGGTTAGCAGTGGAGTGCTTTAACCAAGTGCCACCAGAGCTCACTCCTTAATTCGCAGGTCTTTCTAAAGTGAGAAAAGAAGTGATAGCCATCTGCCGGCCTTTGGATCAGGGGGAGGAGAACTTCACACTAAGCTTTGAGATTTGATTCTGGGCTATGGGATCTATTGAAGATTCGGGGAGAGGGAGGAGAGTGTCTAGGTGTCATGCGGGCGTCAAAGAGCAAGAGTCTGAGAGGTACTTAAAGACTTCCATCACATCCAAAACCAGGATGGTGCTTCCAACAGACTTGAGTGTGTGGACCCTCTAACATTCCCAGGATATATGAGGCGGAGTCTCATCATCCTCGCCTCTAGGAAGCATTTTGACTGTGGTAGTCCAGGACTGATTTGTTTGTTCTGTTGGCAGTCGATGGTATATTAAAAATTCTTCACTAACATCACAATTCAAGGACATCTGTGGGGTTTCCCCCCATCTTCTTTATTTACTGTCCAATTTTCACATAAATGTGAAGCAGCTGAAAAGCTCGTGTTTGGGGTCAGGGGTATCTTAGAATTTAAAGTGGCATCCTTGCTCTTTGGTACTTTAAAAAGGTCTTCGGCAGTAGATTTGCCTATTGCAATATATCATCTGAAATCTTGACTATTGCATAACCTTCATCAGCACTAAAAGTTTTGACAAATGCCTCATGCCATGTGTCATAAAGGCTATTTAATGCTCTGTAATGAACAATGATTTGCTCTCACCATTAAAACAAGTGATAGCCTCAAAAGGAATGTACCAGTCAATCATGCCCCCAAACCTTCAAAACTTGGCAGCGAACACGAGTCTAAAATATTTCATGAAGTCCGATTTTTGGAAGCATGTGACATGTCCTGCTCCAGGTGTTTTGCTCAATGGCAAGGCTGGTGTGGAATTATCAATGAGGACTTTGTCCTGTCACAGATAAAAAGGGGAGAGATCGGGAGGGGGCATCTGAGCTTCAGAGGTGTGTGCGCAGGACGGCATGGCGGGGCTCGGCTGCCTGGCATTGCTGCTGCCTGTCCTGCTGGCCTATGCTGGGGGTCACCCAGTGCCCGGGAAGACAGGTTTCCACAAGCTGTTGCTGATCTCCTTTGATGGTTTCCGCTGGAACTATGACCAGGATGTGGACACCCCCAACATGGACCGCCTGGCCAGGGAGGGCGTGAAGGCCAAGTACCTGACGCCTCCTTTCGTGACCATGACCTCTCCATCGCACTTCACCACCATCTCAGGTGAGTTGGGGAGACTGAGGCAGTGTGTGCAACCAGGGGCCTTCTCTGGATGCAGCTGGTGCTCTGGGCTGTTCAAGGATCCTGTTACATACTGAACTGTGTTCCCCAAAAATGCACAGTGTAAACCTCAAACCTTCTGCCTACAGTTAGAATTCCATTTTGGAACGGGGTGTTCTTCGTGAACGAGATGGTATTAGGGTCTCAGCCACTGCTGTTGGGTTGAAACCAATTCATACCTAATCTTTCATTATATTTCCAAGGCTATAAATTTCACAAAGAAGACTGCCTATCTCTCTCCCACAAAGCCATTAAGGGATTCAAATCATCAAAGAGGTATGGCCTTTGGGTTAGCCATGCAACTTTATATAGACTAGACCAAGTGTATTGCAAATCTGTTTCTTTTGAGATATAAAAGAGATTACACAGTTGGAATTAGCTTGACAGCAGTAGGTTATCAAAGTACAGAAACACACACACACACACCCCTGTAGTATTCGCAATTACTTGCTATGCATCAGAGAGCTCGACAATGACTAGGGATGCTAGAAAGAGAAATGATGCCTTTGAGCTATGGTGCTGGAGGAGAGTGTTGAATATACCATGGACAGCTAGGTGAACATACAGGTTCATCCTGGAGAGGGTGAAACCAGGCTGCTCCTTGGAGGCAAGGATTGAGGCTTCATCTGACATACTTGGGGCATGTTACAAGGAGGGACCTGTCCTTGGACAGGGATGTCATGTTTGGAAGGATAGAGAGAAGGAGAAAGAGAGGGAGACCATCGATGAGCTTCACCGTCTCCAACTTGTTTGAGCCTATTGTTACAGTCAGCATGTCAATCAATCTTGTTAAGAGTCATCCTCTTTTTCTCTGACCTGCCACCTTTCCCACCATGATGTCGTTTACCAAGGACCGGTCCTTCTTGATAACAGGTCCAAGCTGTGTGAGATGAAGTTTCACCATTCCGCCTCTAAGGAGCACCCTGATCCTGGTTACACTAACTCCAAGACAGAGCTGTTTGCTCTTTTAGCAGCTCCTAGGATAGTCAATACTCTTCATCGACACCACGAGTCAAAGACATCAATTCTTTTGTCATCCTTATTCATTGTCCAACTTTCAAATGTATAAGAAGCAACTGAAAATTGCTGTGACTTGGATCAGGTGCACCTTAGTCTTTAAACTGACATTCTTGCTCTTTATCACTTTGAGGAGATCCTTGACAGCTGATATTCTCAAGGCAGCACACCTTTTAATTTCTTGGCTACTTCTGCCTTACGTGCTGACTGTGGGTCCGAGTTAAATGAAAGAATTGACAACTTCAATCTTTTTTCCATTTAGCATAGTGTTGCCTATTGGTCCAGTGGTGAGCATTTTTATTTTCCTTGATGTTGATCAGTAACTCATACTGAAGACTGTAGGGTTTGTTTTTTTTAATCTTCTTCAGTAAAGGCTTCTCTTCAGTTTCTGCAGGCAAGGTTAAGTCATCTGCATAATGTAGGTTGTTGATGAGTCTTCCTGCAATCCTAATGCTATATTCTTCTTCATATAGTTCAGCATCTTGGATGATTTCCTCAGCATACAGATGGAATAGATTTGGAGAAAGGATACAACTCTGACACACATCTTTCCTGGTTTTAAACCATGCAGTGTTCCTTTGTTCTGTTTGGACAATTGCTTCTTGAGCTGTGTATCGGTTTCACATGAACACAGTTAAGTGTTCTGGGATTCCCATTCTTCTCAATATTATCCATAACTTGTTACGATCCACACAGTCAAATACCTTTATATAATCATTATGACATCAAGTAAACCTCTTTCTTTTCTCTGCTTTCAGCAAAGATCCATTAGCAAAGATATCCCTCATTCCATGGCCTCTTTTAAGTCCAATTTAAAGCATAAAGATGTAAAGATGGGAAGATTTGTTGTTGTACTGTATTACTGAGTTGACTATGACTCATACTGACCCTGTGAACAAGAGCTTTGAATCCAGCCCTATCCTGAGCCAATTGTATCAACCCTGACACACCCTGTCTTCACTGCCACTGTCATTGTGATATGTCGTTGTTGTCATTGTGTAACATAGAGTTAGAACTGACCTATAGCTGATCCTCCAGCTGGTTTTCAGAGGCAGTTAATCATATGGGAGGAGACTGCCCATCCTCCGACGGAGCAACTGGTGGCCTCGAACCTTGTGCCTTCGGCCTTACAGCACAGCTTCTTGCCACTAGGCTGCCAGAGCTCCCATTGTGATTTTTTTTTTAAATAGGGAGCTCTTATGTCTTAGTGCTCAGGAGTTGCACTCCAACCCAAAGGCTCATGGTTCCAATCCACCAGTCGCCCTACAGCAGAAGGATGAACAGTCCCCTCCTGTGTAATTTACTGCCTCTGAAAATCCACTGGCGGGTCAGATATGAGCCGGTTCTGACTCAGCTGTGCATAACATAATTTTGTAATATCTTACATATATCTACATCTCTCTTTATATCTATGCCTTCAGTTCTTTTGAAATTGAATTACTATACAAAAGCATCATTACTTTCAAAGGTACTTGAGTGCTTTGTATATTCCTGAAATCTCTGAACTTAGTGTCACCTGTAGAGCAGAGCTGTGCAATACAGGAGCCACTAGTCAGCACTCAGACTGTGGCTGGCCTGTCTTGAGATGTGCTGCAAGTATAAATTACATGATGGAGCTCAGAGACTTAGTACCTGTGGCACACACGTTCCAAGATGTATCTATCTAGGTATCTAGAAGCCGCCCAGTAATTCCAGGCTCCTCATTTGCACAGCCTTGTGAAACTGCCTTTTCTCTAAGGATAAGTAGGTATCTGTACCTTACTTAGAACCAAAAGAATATGGCAATAGTAGACTTCCCTCTTGTCATCACATTATACACAGTTTTAAGCCCCATCTTGCTACCCAGTTCTCACCACTGATTCTCTCCCTTGCTGGCTTTGATGAAGTAACTGGCCATGTGGAGTGTGGTTCATATGATAAAGAAAAATTTAGCTTCCAGCTGATAACCAAAAGAGCTGAGATCTTTAGTTCGGGGGTTGACAAGGAACTGAATCCTGCCAAGAGCCACATGAACCACAGGAGAGACTCCAGCCCTGACCAATGCCTTGATTTCTACCTCATCAAACACCTTCAAGTAAAGAAGCCATTAAACTCTTCCCAGATTCTCAACACACAGATGCTGTGTGATAGTGTATTTCTTCAAGCTTAAAGAGAAAGATTAAACCAGTAAATTGGCAAGAATGATAGATGCCATGCCACGTGATCACCAATGAGTCTCCCCCAGACCTGAAAGTAAAAGCGTTTTCCGAGAGCCTGTACCCTGAATTTGGATGTATTACTTTCCAAACCAAAAACAAACAAACCACCGAGGTAGCCAAGTCCAACATGAAGCAGAACTGCCCCATAGGGTTCCCAAGACTGTAAATCTTTGTGGAAGCAACTCCCACACCTTCTTCCTGTAGAACAACTGGTCGATTCAAACCACTGACTTTCTGGGTGGCAGTCCAGTCCTTAACCACTGTGCCAACAGGGCTCCTCAGCTTCCTGAGTTGTGAGAATATAAGTGTCTGCTGGTTACAGTCCTACCCTCCCAGCATTGCAGTCCCAGCAGCCCTAGGAGACTAAGACAGACCCATCAGTTTGAAAACATCATGTGTGAGAGAAGGACAGCTGAGCTGAGGCCTCTACCACCCTCCGCCTGCTTCCAGTTCACTGACACAGCGGCCAGGAAGCATTTTCCGACAGTAAATGACTACCAGCAACAGAGAGTGATGGCTGCAGTGGAGAAGGTCACTCTGCTGGATTGTCAGGGCAGCAGCAGATTCCCCGCCTTTCTTCTGAGACACCTTGGGATGGGCTGAACTGTCACCCCTTCAGTTAGTAACTGGGTGCTTGACCGTTGGCGCCACCTAGGGGCTCCTTTTACAAAAATAATAATGTGTTCTCTCCAGTTATGTTAGAACAGAGTTCATTCAGTTCTGCTGTTGATAAGGTCGTTAAGGGTCATCAACTTAACCACAACTCTCACTGCCTGGCTGGCTGTCTGAATTTATTCAAAGCTGACCCTCGACTGGGTTTCAGAGGCTGTAAACCACACTGGAGGAGACTATTCATCTTTCTCCCACAGTGAATAAAGCATTAGAGTTTCAGAAACTCATTTCGATATGGTTGCCTCTCTTGTTTAAAACCCTACAATAGAAGTTTCCTAGTGCTTTCTGATAAGAACTCAAATTATGTCTTTCTGGGACTAAGAAAAGGAGCCCCGTTGGCACACTGTTAAAGCACCTGACTGCTAACTGAAAGGTTAGTGGTTTGAACCCACCAGCCACTCCAAGGGAGAAAGAGGGGCAGTTGGCTCCTGTCAGGATTTCCTGTCTTGGAAGCCCCATGGGGCTGTTCCACTCGGTCTGCTGGGGCTGCTGTGGGGATCAAGGGGGGATCCACATGATGGCACTGGGTTTGGTCTTTGGGTGTGGTGTCCGAGAGGCTCTGCATGACCTTCTGAGCCCCTCCATACACATCTCCCATTTCCCTTGCCCTCACTGGCTTCTCCAAATCATGGAGGCCTCCAGTCTCCAACCTTCATCTTAACAGCTAAGCAGCAGTGGTGTCACCGTGTGTACACTGTTGTGATGCTGACCAACAGCTCAATGGTCTAAATGTACCAGCTGCTCCAAGGAAGAAATGCGGGGCATCCCCTCCCCTGAGATTTACTGCCTGGGACACTTGGTGGCGGGATACTAGGGGACAGAAGTGATTCTCCAGCACTGGATTCTCAAGCAATTAATAACAAACTCTTCATCACAATCCCTCACGCGGGCTGTACATGCAGCTTTAGAATCATTGAAAAGACTTCAAGCCTTTCCTTGCACTAACTCACCCTCTGCCGTTAAGTCAATTCCGAGTTATGGGAACCCTGTAGAACAGAGCAGAACTGCCCTGGAAGGTTTCCAAGGCTGTACACGTTTATGAAAGCGGACTACCTC